GCCAGGTTCGATGGGGCTTGGAGCACCCTGGGCTGGTGGGAGGTGTCCCTGCCCATGGCAGGGAGTAGAACTAGATGAGCTTTCAGGTCCTTCCAACTCAAACCAGTCTGGGACTCTATCAGAAGACCTAATTTGTATATGCAAACGAACTAGATTCCTACAGCAAAGCAGTTCCTGAATTTTGCCACTGGAGACAAACCAGTTCAGAGCTCACTCACTGTCCCTCCACAACTCCATGTGGTCTCCAACTGTTCCCATTTGTGACTCTGCAAGGTAAGAAAAACCCACTAAAAGTGCAGAGATCTGTTTGGTGACTTGACAAAAAGTTTTCCCGTTCTTGGTACACATTGTTTATTACTGGCAGTTTGTGTCATTAGTTAGTCAGGGGCAGTTATTTACGGATGTTGGGAAGAGGTTAGGAACAGCAAATCATGCCCTGATGGTTCCAAGTGCCTTGGTGGGTCATTCTGGAGCTCACAGTGTGTCTCTCTCCTCACTCTCCCAGATGCTCTGTCACTGCACATCTCACTCGCATATGCTGTGCTGAGATGTTCTCTCCCACTGCAGCTACTCACAGGGTCACACTGGAGGGGAATGGTTTCCCCTCATTAGCCCAAGTTGATCCCTGCTAATCTGAGAACAAATCCCAAGTTCTGAGCCCATGCAGGACATTATTTTCTGGGCTGCAGAACTAGGACACCTCCTCCTCCTCGTGGCTCTCGCTGTTTCATTGCAGCAGCGGAGCTAAAATATGCAACTCTGGGAACCTCATCCGACCCCAAAGGCTCTTCTGAAGCAATTCCAGAGGATGCAGAAATTCCTGGTCACAGGAACAGCTAAGAATATGCATTTCATATGAAAGGGATAAGTGGGATCATCCAAATACTTGCAAAGGCATCTGGACCCTTGGAGATTGTTCCTATGGATGTAATCCCAAATAACCAGGATTTTCGGATTGGAGAGTTAATCCTGAAAATCTTGCTACTCCTTCATGAAACAAACATTCTCCTGCCTCTTTCTGAGGCCCAGGAGCATCAGCCCAGGCACAACGGTCTCTCCTTAAACCCAGACCAAAGTACTCAGGAGTGCTGAAGGAGCAGTTTTCCTCACAGATGTTCAGCTTTATCCAACTCCCGTAGAGTAGAAGTGAGTGTTTAAGTTGGATATTGGGAAGGAATTTTGCCCTGTGAGGGGCTGGAATAGATTTCCCAGAGCAGCTGTGGCTGCTCCATCCCTGGGAGTGTTCCAGGCCGGGTTGGATGTGGCTTGGAGCAACCTGGGCTGGTGGAAGGTGTCCTGGCCCATGGCAGGAGTGGGATGGGATGAGCTCTAAGGTCCTTCCAACCCAACCCAGCCTGGGATTCTAACTCTCAGCCACAGCACCAAAACTTCCCCAGGCAGGTTTAACACTCCTGCATTCCCAGATTCCCTGACTCTTTTCCCTTCTTGATGTGCTGCTTACTAGCAAGAAAACTCCTCCCTTTCCTTGCCCAACACCAGTTCAGCAAGTTCAATTGCAGATGTGTACAGAGCCAACTTTTCCTGGGCAGAACCACCTCCAAAAGCTCTGCAGGCCAAATCCAGACTGTCCAATATCCATGCTCATTCCCTCTTCAGACTGCACAAATTCCACCTGACTAGAGTTCAGGCACATGAGCACTGGGAGTCCAAACAGGGAGGCGATGCCATTGCCTTTAAATCTCTTAGCTTTGCAAAACGAAGTGGAGAGTAGAAACCTGGAGTCACCCTAACGGAGCAGCTCCAGCTCAGGAGGCAGAAGAGATTATCAATTAGTGAGATAAATGTTTTGTCCCAATTCCACTCAACTGCTTTTAGTAGACTTTCCCAATCATCTGCCTCATACCTCAACCAAGCTGCTTTCTCCACCCCGGGAATGTGGCAGACACCTCACGCCCATAAGTCCTGACCGAGGCTGTGATGAGACAAACTGATCAAGTTGTTGTGGCAGCAACACCACAAAGACATCATGGGCTATCAGAAGAAAGGCTTGTTCAGCCTTGAGAAGAGGCTCAGGGGTGACCTCATGGCTCTCTCCAACTCCCTGACAGGGCTGGAGAGAGGTGGGGGGTGTCACTACTGCCAGGGCTGCAGGGAGAGGACAGGGGGAATGGCCTTGAGCTGAGCCAGGGCAGAGTCAGGTGCTCCATTTCAACCCCTGAACATTCCATGATTTTATGATTCCCCTCTGCCAGGTCCCAAACACCAAGACCCACATCTGGGAGTGGAGCCCACACCAAACCCAGAACATCTCTGGCATGGACAGAGCACAAACTGCAGGAAGGGCTGGAGGAAGACCAGGAGAAGCTCTTGTTTGTGAGAAACATTTAATTGAACACCAAGACTTCCAAGAGGATTTACAGAGTAGCTGTAACAGACTGGTCAGAAAGGAAAGAATGGTCACTGCCTGCAGAGCCAGGGGAAGGTCCCCAGAACAACTCCTGGCAGAGCAGCAGAGCACAGTTCAGTCTCCTTGCAGTACTCACATGAGCAAATCACAGGACTTTGTCTTTCCAATCCTTTCAGAAGAGTGAGTCTGGGACCAATCCCTGCAGCATGGGACAGTTCTCAAGGACCACTCCCAAAGGCAATTCCCTGTCATTCTCACACAATAAAGGCTCTGGGAGCTACTTTCTTCCCCAAGTTTTGGGTACCAACAACTTGTACAATAGGTTAGTGGCACAATATTTACTCCACCACTTTATATTCTTCTCTCAGCTGAGACATCCACACACAAATTAAGCAATGGATACCCTAAGACTATTTGCAGCCTGGTCAACACCTCCTCCAAGCTATAAACTCTCCTCTTCCTTCCCTCTCCCTTCCCAGAGAAATCCATAGTTAGCCACAAGTAACCCAAATATGCTCAGAGATGCACTGGAGGAGACTGAGGAATCAGCCAAGGTGCCCATGGTGAAGCCAAATGCTTGGACCACACCAAGGCAGGTTTCACATCAGTTCCTTTTCCAACACAAAATGCTGTCACCTCACCGCACATGCAAATAAGAAAGAGTTCAGACTTAATAAAAAGCTTTAAATTCAGTTTTAGATATCAGTTCTAGAAAAATCAACCTTTTTTCCTTTTTTTTTTTTTTTTTTTTTTTTGTTTCTAACGAGGTCAGAACATTGCTGCACACGAGAGCAGGTGTAGCCACACCTGGTGGAATGGATCCCCTTCCCTGCGCACGGAGGACAGAGCAGGGTCTTGGCACCAGAAGAGAAAGAGGAGGAGGTTTCCTCACTGCCAGTCAACAGTGAGTCATCCTTCCATCCCCAGGGCAGAAAGTCCTGACTGGACTTAAACCAAAACACACCTCAGTTTGGGTGTATTGATCTCCAAAACAGAGTGTCTGGACAAACACAACTCCATATCCAAACCATGTACTGCAGTGAACTCAGTGTGGTGTGGAACTAACCAAATCCCCAATTCCCAGTGCTGTCAGCCCAGTTCCTCACGTGGAACTTCCCCTGGTGGGAGAGGCACTAGCACTTCAGCTCCGAGACTTCACTTCCAAGACCAATGTGGTCTTGGGAGGGAATGGCAGTTCAGTGACTGGAACTCACACATGGACTGACAACCCACGACATGAAATGACCTCCCTACAGTCAGGTATGAACAGGTAACCCACAGCAGAGTCGCCAAGGAGTGAAACAGCATCTCCCTCCCCTTGGGCGAGAGAGCAAACGGTTCCATGGGTCATTAAAAGTACTTGGATAGAAAAAGCTTAAAAACGTATCACCTAGCACTGACCCACAAAAAATCATACTAGTTAAAGAGACAGCAAATCTGGTTCCTATATTTTCCCTCCCATCATGTGATATTCCTTTACCCCTCCCACTTTTGCATTCCCAATCACCCTACCTACCCCTTGAGAAAAGGAGGGGAGTAGAGTTTAGGTGAGTTCCAGCTGCAGAACTCCCCGGCCATGGATGAACTGTCAGCTCACACAGCTCCTGAGGTCCATCCACGTGCCCCGGGGTGCAGTCAGGCTGGTGGTGCTCTCTTGACTCTGAAAATGGTTGTGCTGACCCTGCTGATAGGGCTCGGACTAGGAATTCTTGGGTGTAACCCCCTGGAAGAGAACAAAAAAGACCTTGCAAGTCAGTAAGAACCTTCTACATCTTTATTAAAGGAAGAGATCTCACTGCCAGAAGATATCCATGTCCTGATCTCCAGGTTTTCACCTGCAGCAGAGCACCTAAGACTCCCCGAGACCCTTTCTGCCCCCAGTGAAGGACAGTTTAAGGTGAAAAATAACAGTCACATTACCTGGACTATACATTTTCCATCTCCTGGTCATGGTCTTGCTCCTCCTCCTCCTCCTCCTCTTCTCCTTCTTCCTCACCTCCTTCTTTCTCGGACGGAGCTTCCCCATCCCTGGCTATCTCCTCCACGTGGGCCAGCATGTCAGCCATCAGGGCTTCCTCCAGCCTCTTCCTCACCTGCTGCACCAGCTCCTCCTGTTTCCTGCACAAAGCAACTCAACATCAGCTCCCAGAGCTGCTTCCTGCCTGGGAAAGGCATCTCAAATCCCCCAGCACGAGGCTGGGATGGACCAGAAGGAGATGCATTGTAGAACCACTTGTCACGGTGGGTAAGTGAAGAGAAGCACTCAAAAAAAGTTGTCCAATAGTTTCTGCTGCAATTGCTGTGACTCAAGACTTTGGGTTTTAACTTCTAACACGAATATGAGTACTAGGAGTTAGTACTACTAACACTAGTACTCAGATTTCCACAAAACAGCCTAGAGGAAAATAAAGTTTCTGACCACTTCTTTTTGTTCTGAGTTCAAACTTCACCTTTTCAAGCTCCTTTGCCACCAAAATCACAGCAAACCATCACCAGTCAGCGTCTCACGGAGCTCCTACTTCACCTCAGCCACAGGAATTCAAAGTTATAACCATCCCATTTTCCCTGGTCACTCATGCACAGAACAAGCACAAAGTCATTCTGGCATTCCCACAGACCTAGCAAGCAAAGTAAGGATGATCTTTAAGCACTGGATGAATGCAAAGAACACACCTGCAGGTCACTTTCTGGGGTTCAGGGGTTAGGATGGACCTCAGATATCCTCCAGCCCCAACCCCTGCCCTGGGCAGGGACATCTCCCACCAGAGCAGGTTGCTCAAGGCTCATCCAGCCTGGAATGAACACTGCCAGGGTTGGGGCAGCCACAGCCTCCCTGGGCAACCTGTGCCAGTGTCTCACCACCCTCACAGGGAAAACTTCTGCCTAATATCTAATCTCAATTTCCCTCTTTCAATTTCTTCCCATTGCTCCTTGTCCTGTCCCTGCAGCTCCTAACCAAGTCCCTCTGCAGCTTCCCTGGAGTCCCCTCAGCTCCTGCAGGTTGCTTAAGAACAAAGAGCTTCCAGCACATAAGAAGAGCTTTGTGGAACGATTTTTGCCCACTCTGTTGCTCAAGAGCCATCCAGATTAACACCCAAGCCACAGTGCTCCACCAGACATGCACAAACCAAAGTAGCTTCACCACAAGGAACTTGGTTCCCAGACAATTTCTGGTCAGTACCTAATATCTTCATCGGTCACCATGAAGGCTTTGCAGAGAGGCTGAGAGGTGTTCAGCCAGACCCCAGGATTCTTCTCCACAGCTGCAGAGAGCTGCCCAGTGATGGGCATGGTGCTGGTGTGCAGGGCACTGGCAATGGCAGAGAGCAGAGTCTCATCTGTGCACCCAGGGCCGACCCCTGGGACAGGGAGGGAAAGCCACAGTCAGCATCGCACGAGGCAAGAGAAGCAAAGCAGCACAACAGGAAGGACATGTCACTGGCAAAGCACACGCTGCCACTGGGAGAGCTAACCCAACACATCTCCGTGCTGAAGGCTTCGAACAGCACCTGTGCAGCTCAGCTTGGAGTAATTCCTCACTCTGGTACACAAAAACAATCACCATCAAACCCAAAGTGGGAACAGAAGTTGTTTCTGTTCTGCTTGAATGAGATTGGGAGAGCTGGGGGTGTTCACCTGGAGGAGAGAAGCTCCAGGGAGACCTCAGAGCCCCTTCTGGATGGGGCTTGGAGCAGCCTGGGCTGGTGGAAGGTGTCCCTGCCCATGGCAGGGGTGGGATGAGATAAGCTTTAAGGTTCTTCCAACCCAAACCATTCTGTGATGCTTCTGGAAGATGAATCCCCCAATATCAGGATGTTTTGCCTCAGTTTTCCCACAGGACAAAGGGCATGAGGGCTTCCAGAGAGCACTGACACCTCCTGCTTGAGCAGGAATAGCCCCAGCACTGAGGCACAAGGAGGTCACACACAACACCTGCAGTTCACTGCTGACAGGTACCACAACGCCACCGAGGGAGGAGCAGACTCTGATTACCTTGCAACCCTTTGGGGAGGTCCATAGTCTTCACCAGCTCCTCTGCGATGTCAAAGGCATTCAGGCCACTCAGTTTCTTCTCCCAGAAGAGCTGACAGCAAAGAAAATGGTTACTGGCACCAACAGAAATGGAACTGACATCCCCACAAAGCAGCTGCTCCCTGCCCAGAGAGGGAAGAACGCTGCTGAGGATGATTCCATGTGGATTTCCTACAGAATCCAACAGCAGGGATAATCAGGGAGTAATGGAATGTTCAGGGGTTGGAATGAACCTCAGAGCACATCCAGCCCCAGCCCCTGCCCTGGGCAGGCACACCTCCCACCACACCACGTTGCTCAAGGCTTCATCCAACCTGGCTGTGAACACTGCCAGGGTTGGGGCAGCCACAGCCTCCCTGGGCAACCTGGGACAGTGTCTCATCTCCCACCACAGCAGGGTGCTCAAGGCTTTATGGAATGGAATGAGATGAGCTTTGAGGTCCTTCCAGCCGAAACCAGAGTGGGATCCTGAGTTTTAATCCAGGCATTATGGGACTCAGAGCCGCTTTCAAACCCTGCAGAAGCATCTGCAGTTTGCTGAGCACAAGCTCCAATATTCTGCAGTTCAGTAAATACTTCCAACAGAGACACAAACCTCCATCCAGCTCAGAGTTATGTCCTGTCCTTAGTGTCCTTTTACTGTCTTACCCATAGAAACTGCAGGAATAGCAACACCCGTGATTCCGCAGACAACCAGGGAAGACCTGCCAAGCTGTCTGAAGCCCCCAAACCATCAACTGCTCTGCAGAGATCCATCTCACCCCTGAGGGCCTGACCAGGTCCCTGCACCTCCCTCCTACAGGCACCCCTCGAGTTTGCAGAAGGTTTTCAGTAAGATCTGAGGAGTTTACAGAGTATTTCTACGTTTTGTTGACATCACTTTCCCTCTTGCAACAATCTCTCAATTCCACTCGACCTGCAGGAAGCCAAACTGCTAAGTCTACCAACAGCTGCAGCTCATTTCACCAGGGCCGTGGCGAGTCCTGTGCAGCTTGTGCAGCTTTTCCCTGGGCTAACTGAAGGTGAGAGGCTTCCTTCATTTCAGTGTGTTGTCTCATTTGCAAACAGTCTGCTAAGAAAACTCTACAGAAATTACTAGGCATTATGTATGAGAATATTATATGTAAATGTTACCATTAATCTATAATATAAAATACCATAATAAGGTATTAAAATATTCTCTATATAATTTATATCGTTTTTCTTAATGGCAATGTCCATTAATGACTAACAACATTTCTGTCCTATCCATACATCAATATATCGATTTGTATTTACATCACCACATTAACTTATGACTTTGAACCAACAAATACATCAATATATTGATTTGTATTTACATCACATTAACTTATGACTTTGAACCAACAATTCCAAAGTGCATTCATGACCTGCCCCACACTGGCAGAGTGGGGCAGAGTGGCACTGCTGTGCCACCCCCTAACTACACACAGCACATGAGAGGTGATCCGTGCAGGAGTGTGGATTTCACACACGGAACGTCACACGGCTGAGAGGTCTGACAGGGATTCCAACCCTGAGTGTCTCCTCAGGTGGCTCCAACATCTCACTCAGTTTGTGGGTAACACTTCACTTTGGCTTTAGGGAAATTCAGGCTCACTACAGCACAAATGTGACACAACCCAGAGCTGGAACGTGGCTACAAATCCCAGTCCTAACCCCCCAACACAGCCCAGACCTGCAGGTTGGGAACGGGGTCTGTTCGGAGCCCATTGGGGATGGGGTTTGATCGGGAATGGGGTTTGTTCAGAGGCAACTGGAACTGGGTGCGTTTGGAGGTGACTGGGAATGGGGTTTGTTTGGAGTTGACTGGGGATGGGGTTTGATTGGGAATGGGTTTGTTTGGTGTCGCTGGGAGCACTGTCAGTTACTGCTCCTGACACAGACCAGAATCTGCCAGGGAGTTTTGCACCACAACATCCAAGTGGTTCCTTTTGGGATCCTCCCAGGGGCAGCCCCAGGAGCTCCCAGCCCTGGAGAAGGAGCTGCAGGGCCTTACCTGCCGGGGCTGCTCCACAGCCTTCTGGGGGTCACTCTTGACCTTGTTGCTGGGGTGGTTGGTGATCTTTGTCACAGGCTGCTTGAAGATGGAAGCTGTCTGCCGCACGGGCAGGGCCGTGTTCAGGTCAGGCTTGCCCTGGGGCCAACAGAAGGAGAGGAAGAGCCCAGAAGAATGGTTTGAGTTTGCTGAGTTTTCCCCCAGCCACCAGGATGTGCAGCAGGGAATGGCTCATGGCTCCAAATCTCCTCTGGGCTCAAGTAATTTGGGTTAGACTGCTGAAAATGCACAACTAAATTCAGATCTTGCCTTACACCTACCAGAGCCAGATTTCCCCTCGCTGTGTTGAGCACAACCACCTCCTCCCACCCTAGTTCACACACAGCAGTCTTAGCCCCATTTCGATGGAATTTCAGAGCCAAACACTTGGCCAAACCACCTGCAGATCACCCAACCAGAAGTTCATAGCACAATCTATGCAACAAACAGAACTGGTGTGAGGAGGAATTTAGGGACTGGTTTGAATCCAGAAACCATCCTAAAACACTCTCTTAAATCAGCTTGGGATTGAATCTCCATCCCTTTTTTTTACCCTCAGTTCTCAACAAAACTCAGAATGAATTTTTCACTACATGACTTCATTCTGTGAATGGAAATTTAGGAAGACTCTTCCTCATTCCCAAAACCTAACACGGAATGGCTGCAGGCCACGCTTTGCTCCTGAGGATGCAAACACTGTGTCTGCCTCACAGATTTATTCATGAGATGTAGAAAAGATGTATTCAGGACAAATATGAGTCTGAACCATCTGGGTGCTAACCCAGTCAGCAGCCAAGGACAAGGACTTGGACACGGATTGCAAAGTCTGGGTGGAATCCTGAGCCTGAGAGGTGTGAGAGCTGCTCTGCCTCAGAGCAGGTCTCAGAATACCACAGCAGCACCCAGGGCTGGAGGGAAACCTTCCCATCGCTCCCACGGGGACGATTCCTGACTGGCTGAAGGATCTAAAAAATAACCATTATGCCTTTTCCACATTTAGTGTTTAGATGCAGAGACACTGCAAACAGCTCTGTGATCCCAACATCAGGACATGGAACTGTTGGGGCAAGGCCAGAGGCCACAAAGCTGCTCAGAGCACTGGGGCACCTTCCCTATGAGGACAGGCTGAGAGAGCTGGGGCTGTTCAGCCTGGAGAGGAGAAGGTTGTGTGGAGACCTCAGAGCAACCTGCAGGAGCTGAAGGGGCTCCAGGGAAGCTGCAGAGAGATCTGTGCTAGGAACTGCAGGGACAGGACAAGGAGGAATGGGGAGACATTGAGAGAGGAAATTGAGATCAGATGTTAGGCAGAAGGTTTCCCTGTGAGGGTGGTGAGACACTGGCACAGGTTGCCCAGGAGTGTCCCAGGAGACAGCCAGAGGTCTGGGCCTCCAGAGGAGATAGTGCTGGAGAAGATGAGCTCACACTCCAGGGAGGGGAATCACAGAATCCCAGAATGGGTTGGGCTGGAAGGACCTTAAAGCTCATCTTATCCCATCCCATACCATGGGCAGGAACACCTCTCACCAGGGTTGGGGCAGCCACAGCTGCTCTGGGCAACCTGTGCCAGTGTCCCAGCACCCTCACAGCACTCAGAGCTCACAGACACTGTCCTGGCAGAGAGAGGAAAGTGCCACAGCATCTCAGCCTCACCTTGGCTTGGTTGGAGCAGTCGTAGCGCATTCTCTGCCTGTTCTTGTTCATTTTATTCATCAGCATCTTTCCTGTGCGGAAGTCAAAGGTTCCCAGGTCCATGGAGCTGCCCAGGTAACGTGCCAGCTGCGGCTTGCTCCGGAATTTCTTCCCACTTGGGCTGAAAAAACACAGACAAGAAAGGTGGAAGGAAGATAAAACCCTCTGTACTTCAGCACTTGCTGCAGCTTAGAGGAGGCAATTTATACTTCCTTCCTGAAAAACATGTGCTCAGCTTCCAAGAGTGAAGCTCACGTGAAACTCTAAGTTGCTGCTATTGCTTTCATATTAACTCCTGCTCATGTGGAAGAGAAAAATGAAGTGCAGACCACGGTAAAGTGTTTTCTATGTTAAGAGGAGATTCAGGTCAGGTAAACAAACATAATTCGCAGAATGACCAGCATGGGAGATCTCATAGATTCATGGAATGTTAAGTGGTTGGAATGGACCTCAGAGATCCTCCAGCCCCAACCCCTGCCCTGAGCAGGGACACCTCCCACCAGAGCAGTTGCTCAAGGCTCATCCAGCCTGGAATGAACACTGCCAGGGCTGGGGCAGCCACAGCCTCCCTGGGCAACCTGTGCCAGTGTCTCACCACCCTCACAGGGAAAACTTCTGCCTAACATCTGTTCTCAATTTCCCTCTTTCAATTTCTCCCCATTGCTCCTTGTCCTGTCCCTGCAGTTCCTAGCACAGAGTCCCTCTGCAGCTTCCCTGGAGCCCCTTCAGCTCCTGCAGGTGCTCTGAGGTCTGGATCCTGCCTCGATCTCCTCCCTGCACCACCACCAGCACTCGAACACCAAAGTGCTCATGCAAGTGAACCAGCTGGGGAAAACAACCCATCTCTGGAGGGAGGGAGAAGGAACACTCCAGCACTGGTCATTCCTCAGCTGGAGCAGTTCACTGTGGAGCTGCACCAACACTGCCAGAAGATCAGGAGAGCAGGAGCAAGCAGCCAGGGACAGAGGCTGGATCCAGTCTCAGATGTACAACCACTTTGAAAAGATACAAAGGAGTTATTTGCCTCAGTCCATGGAGAGGAACAACCAACTCCAGCAGGTCTAGGGCAGAGCTACAGCGAGGCCAGGGAGAGGAATTCCGGATATGCAAAGAATATGGCACTGCTTCCTCCTCCAAGATCTGCCTCGATTTAGGGCTGAGTATCTCAGGAGTTTCAAAAATAACACATTAAGGTGCAGAGTGACTCGCAGAACAACAGAGCAGACCCAGAGGATGGTACACGGATCAGACAGCGCCTCGACACGTGTTCGGTGTGTGCTGTGGTGACTTCGCAGAGGAACAGAAAAGCTGCTCAAAGGCCATAAACGTCTCAAAAAACCCACCTGAAATGACTGAGGGTCCTGTCTCTTCCTGGGGAAGCTTGGCCCAAAGGAAAAGCACTGAAATGTTCAGAAGAAAAACTTTAGTTCTGGTTATGTCTTGCAAAAGGCAGATCCAAGCTCGACTGGGATAACAGCAGGTCAGAGAGCAAAGCTACAAGTCAGAGGTGACAGTGAAGATGGGAGGGAAGGGCTGAGGAGCTCCTGGGGACCCTGCGGGCACCACACACCCCTGAGGGGTCAGAAAGAATCCCAAACTGCAGCAGCGAACAGAAGAAAAACTTTAGTTCTGGTTATGTCTTGCAAAAGGCAGATCCAAGCTCGACTGGGATAACAGCAGGTCAGAGAGCAAAGCTACAAGTCAGAGGTGACAGTGAAGATGGGAGGGAAGGGCTGAGGAGCTCCTGGGGACCCTGCGGGCACCACACACCCCTGAGGGGTCAGAAAGAATCCCAAACTGCAGCAGCGAAGCGAAGCACCCCAACACTGCTGGCGCGCCCGTGTGCCCCCAAAATCACAACCCACGGACTTCGCCTCCCCCGCCCCGAGCGGAGCACGAGCTGCGCCGCAGAAATCGGATTCACGGCTCGGAACTCGGGCTCAGAGCTGCAGCCCCGAGCGCTCCG